CTTCCCTCTTGCAGGAAGGCCACCAAGATTACCCACCTCTAATCAAACCCCCCACTTTCACCCTCACCCCTTCCACCCCTCCTCTCAACAACTCAGTTTACACTGTTTGTAAAGCATGATCTTTTGAAAAAGTACGATGTTAAGGAAAATGGGGGAGGAATGTTGCAAAGGCATTTTCACCGCGTGTGTCTTGTGTCTTAACTGGCGTTGAAGACCTGACGATATATTTTTTTTTTCCTTTTAGGATCACAACTGCCCTGAATTTGTTCTTCCAACCGGGTCCTGTTTATTGATGAAATGGCCCGCGCAAATGGAGGGACAGATCAAGGCCCTTCTTTGGTATTTCGAAGAAGCTGCGGTGAGTACCCTGGATAACCAGGGAAACCCATTCCCCCTGTTCGACTGGAAAGCCGCCTTCCTTGGGCTGCTAAAGGCTTCCCCCCTCCCACTCTTTTGCAAGTCAAACTCGGTAACAAGTATACTCCACACACCTTCGCTGCACTTTCTCACTTGGCTCGAAGGTTGTGTGGGTCATGCCTAGTTTCCTGCAGGGAAAAGGCGCGATCTGTGGGACCCTAAGGCTCTACTGGGGTAGCAGGAGAGGTACACCTCCAAAGCTTCTTGGTATTTGCCTGGGGCCAGAAAAGTTTTTGAAACTTTGAAAGCAAGGTGGAGAAGGAGCAGACTTAGGCTAGACTTTTTAATTATGGCTGTTAATTTAGACCCCTGACCTGCCCCCTCCTCCTCTTTTTGGACTCTGGAGCTGGTTCCTCACCTTCCTCATCAGCTGGGCTGCGGATCCCAAACCTGTGGATCCGCCCTCCATTTATTGGATGGCTCCCAGGCCAATTGTTAGAAAGAGGCATATGCTTCTCTCGGCTTCTGGAGTGTCTCCGGAGCAGTTGCTCAACAGCTAGCCCCCTCCCCCATCGGGACCATTGAAGGGCAGAAAAAGGAGCAACCTCCACCACATTTCTATATGCCCAAGTTCCAGAAAGACCCTCACCCACGGGTGACTTCCTGTTATCGCCACTGCCCACCTCCCAGGGAGTAGGGATGAGAGGGTCTTTAAGCACTCAGCTTTGAAGCAGAAAAGCCACCCTTTTCCTTTTGGGGGGAATGGGAGTTGTGGTTAGTGGCAGAGTCTGAGTGGGAGCAAAGAAGACATTTGCATTTCTAGGCAAATATGCCTTGGATCACTGACTTCCAGCCCGCCCCAGGCTACCTCAGAGCTCCGCTAAACTCTTTTCTTCAACTTGACAACTAGACCACAAGCTTGTGAAGCCAAGAGAGAAGTGATGGTCACCCAGCAATAACCTTCTAAATGCCAGCCATGAACCGGGCATCGATCGTTCTCTCCCTTCCATCATCTCATTTAACTCCTAGGGCAGCCCTGTGAGGTTGAGGTAGCAAAGGTGAAATAGCCTCAGAGAAGTGCCCAAGTTGGCACAGCCAAGAGGAAGGGAGTTTTGATCCTGGTGAGGCTGGCTGCAATGTTTACTCCCCTACACACTGCTGCCTTGGAGGGCAAAGAAGAGGTCCAGAGCTGCCTTGGAGGGCAAAGAAGAGGTCCAGAGTGCAGGTTCAAGGGTCAGTCGCCTGGATTAAATCCCTGCTCTGCCATTTGCTAGCTGTGTGGTCTTAGGGTAAGAGACTGTGTTGGTGTATATGTGCTCAGTTTTCCTATTAAATAGATATCATAACAAATTTACAAAACCTGTAAGGGTTAGGAAGAAAGCTTTCGCTTGACTGATTGATGCTGTGTAGTAAAATGGCTAGTACATTCTGGGATTGGTATTCTAATGTGCCTCCTGATTCTTTTCCTTTGGCCCCGCCCCTGCCTCAGCTCACACTCTTCAGGTTCAATAACACTTGCTGAGTAGTTTAAATATCAGACTGAGAGGGCGGTGAAAGAGGTCTATAAACTCTGGAAGGAAAAGGAGATGAGAATGCAGATTTATTTTCCAAAAACTCCACTCACCACAGCAAAAGTTGCCTGGACTATATGACAGGAATAAAAATGGGATCAATAAGAGATAATCACGTTTTATAGGTCAGCCTGTAAATGTAGAAATGGACTCCGAAAATAGAATTGATATGTGTGTCGAAAAGTTTAAAAGTACAAATTTAAATTGCAAACTATGTGTATGTGTGTGTGCTTTTGTGATTTCATGTGCACCATATGCATGCAGGGGGCCAGAAGAGGGCGCTGGATCCCCTATAACCGGAGTTCCAGGTGGTTTGTGAGCTGCTATGTGGGTGCTGGGAACAGAACCAAGGACCTCTGTAAGAGCAATACATGCTCTTGACTCCCGAGCCATCTCCTCACCCCACCCCTACACACTTTTATTCAAGTATGTTTAGAAGAGCCAGTGTAGTAGTGCACACCCGTTACTCCAGTACTCAGGAGGCGGGGATGGGATCATTAGTTCCAGGACAGCCTGGGTTACACAACAAGTTTCAGAACAGCCTGGGATACATCAAAATAAATAAGCATACATGCATGCATTCATGCATACATACATACATACACTCATGTAAACAATTCTCCTTCATTTACATATACGAAGAATTGTTTATGATAGAAACCAACCATAAAGGTCCATGGCCAGGGAGTTTCCCTTGGTACTTTAACCACTACCTCTCAAATTCCTGATTTAAAAAACTTTTATTCATGAGAAAATACTGACTAAAATCCCTGGGTACAAAGTTGCATAAATATGATGTCAAGGTGCAGACGGTACAGAGGCTCCAAAATGAATACTTCTATGCTTCCAACCATGGATGAATATGTGAATAAAGCAATGGTCAGAGAAACACCCAAAAGACAGTGTCAGGAAGGCACAAAATTCTGAATTATTTTTTTTCTATTTTCTCTATAATATATAGTATATTACTCTTTTCCATTGTACTTATTTATTTGGTGCGTGCATGAGAATATGTGCATGTGTGCTCTTGTGTACCTGCCACCGTGTATGTGGAGAGGTCAGAGGATAGCTTCACTTGTGCATCCTGGACATGTAACTCAGATCATCAGGCTCATTATCTGCTCAATCATCTCATCAATCCAATGTCTTCTTTTTTTTGGAAATAGGATTTCTCTGTGTAGCTTTGGCTGTCCAGGAACTCAATATGGAGACCAGGCTGGTCTCTAACTTCCAGAGATCCACTTGCCTCAAGTGCTGAGATTAAAGGTGTATGCCACCACACCTGGTTTATTTTTCTTTTAAGTGAATATACTTTTATAGTTAATAAACTCCATAAAAAGTATATTTTGCTTTTTTTGAAGCAGGGTATTACTCTGCAGCCTAGAAGGCCTTGAACTTTCAGTCATTTGGCCTCAGCCTCTTAGGTACTTGGGATCTATTTTTGTTGAACTAATGTGTGCATAGAAAAACTGTTGGGTGACACGGGGGTGGGCCTAGGCCCTATCCCAAAGGATACAATAGACTCCGATGACATCCTATGGAAGGCCTTACCATCCACGGGGAACAGAAAGGTTATGTAATAGGTAGGGTTTTAGTGGGGGGGGGTAGGAGAGGACAGGAGGGAGAAGGGAACTGGGATTGTCATGTAAAATAACCCTGTTTCTAATTCAAATAAAAAAAGAAAAACTGTCGGGTGAAAATATACCAAAATATTAACGGTGATTATGATTGAGTAGTGGGATTATGAGTAATACTTTTCTTTCTCAAAATTTTTTGCAGTATGATTACATTGTTTTCTCACAATTAGAATAGATTCATAACTTGAAAAGTGCATAATCAGTAGTATTCTACTTGTGGTAAAATTATGAATGCAAATTGAAAAAAATGGGAAGGAAGTATATTGAACTATTAACAGTTTTTATATTAGCTGCTAAAGGATTGTGGGTAATTTCTTCTCATTTTTCTGTAATATGATCTTATTATTTTTATAATTAAAATAAAATGATACCTAAAAATAGCATATACAATATGATCCAATTTTTCCCAAAAATTAATATGTGCATAGAAAAAAATAATAGATTATTCCAAAATGTGTTTGTTTCTGTGTGGTGGGGGTATGAGTGATTTTTATCCTTTCCTTTATAAATAAATTGTTTCTTCATTTTCCAAATTTTCTATAGCTATCACGTATTGTTTTTAATTATGAAAGTGTAAACATTTATAAAGCAGTTTAATATTGGAGTATTTATGGGAAAAGGGTGCCTATTTGGGATTTGCTTTAAAACAGTTCAGTGTGGGGCAGAGGAGAGTGGATGGGGCTATAGATTAAATGAGAAAATTGTTGAAGATGGGTGCATGAAGCTTCATTGTGATGTTTTCTTTTGTGGCTGCTTGAAATTTTTACAATGAATATTTTTCTTAAGCAGCCCCTTTCACAAAGACTATTTCTCTTAGTTTTATGCCAACTGTATGTGGTTATCTCCACTGTATGGAAAGCTGTGATTCAAAGAGTTGGAGTTACTTGTCCTGGGTCTTCTCACTCCAAGCCTAGCACTCTGTCCACATCCCAGGTGCTTTTGCTGCTTGTCTTCTTCTTCTTTACTCTTTGAAAAGTTTTTTTAAAAAGGGTTATTTATTTTTATTTTATGAGTATGGATGTTTTGCCTGCATTTATATATGTGCACCTTGCACATAATGCCTGGTGCCCACAGAGCCAGAAGGGGGTGCTGGATTCCCTGGGATTGGAGTTTTGGTTGGTTTTGAGCTGCCTCGAAGATGCTGGGAACTGAATCTGGGTCTTCTGGAAGAGCAGCATGTGCCCTTAATAATTGAGCCATCTCTCCAGCCTTCCTTAGTTTTTTGTTTCTGTTTTGTTTTTGCAGTACTGGGGATCAAACTAGGGCTTCATGCACACTGTACCAGTGAGCTGAATACTTCATGCACACTATACCAGTGAGCTGAATACTCAGCTCTGGTTTCTCTCTCTTTCTCTTTTAGTAATTCAAAATAGCATTTTATCTGATCGTAAATGTTATAATTGTTCATTGAACAGGATTTTGAGTGAACAGGAATGTACTGGAGGAAATAATAATAATAAATCAACCCCCAAGCACTGTTGTTAACCCTTCGGTGTTGGTTCTGTGGACTGTCTCAGTACCTCTTACTGCAGTGGTACTGCTAGTGGTAAACCTGTTCTCAGTGAGAGTAGTGAGCCATTTCTGAGTGCATTTGCAGCTGCTTAGAGTTTACCCATCCCATCCACCCTCATTCTCTCTCCTTGTTTCCTTCTGAGACTGTAATCTGGGTCCCTTTTTAGCAATCACCTCTATCCAAACAATCCAAACATGAGGAAATGAAGCCCATTAGCAGAAGTCCTAGTGACCCTTCTTTCATTACCAATCTGGGGACTCTGCCCAGAAGCCATCTTAGG